GATAAAAAGACTCAATGTATTATGAGTCTACATATCTCAAATGGAAGGACTTTAGCCAATTATCGTGTGTTCCTGCTTTTGTTAACTGGAGCAGACCCCCCAATGCAGAGAGCACAAGCTACTTCCTTAACAGTAAGTTTCATGCCCATTGCAAGATTAGCGCAAAGCGCATTCTAACCGTGCGCATCTGGGGAGTTTTCTTTCTTTTAGTATTTTGCTCGACTCACAAAGGTGGAAGAGTGCGTTTGCGCCGTTGTGGTATCGAACTCAGCTGACTCCCGCATAATCACGCATAACATAGGACAGAGTGTGTCTGTTACATGGTTTAAGTTTGACAACTATGTGTTTTGTCGGTTAATAGCCATTGAAAGGCAAAGACCTGCAAAACAAGCTGATTTGTAGTTGGTGTCCCTGTGTTGTCGACGCCACGCTTGTTATTCAAGTACCTGCCCAATTCACGTTTCCTCAACTCAACATGGTGGCCACAAGACACCCACAAACCAGCACCTACCAATCAGGAAAGCGGTGAAGGTGTTTTATATATCAAATAACAAATCTTATTTATTTATTGAATATATATTTTTTTTAATATGAATGAGAAAATGGCACGTTCAGAGAATAGCTTGAAAATGGACATCCTGCCCATTTCCAACCCAAATAATCTTGCAAACCCGATAAGGGGACTTCAAAGATTATAAAAAAAGAAAATCGTGGAAAAATAGTGGGACCATTAAAAACTGTACATTATCCTGACTATAGAAAATCACAATGCATATTGGAAGTGTCTGAAAACTCAATAATGGAGACGTGAAGAGACAGTGAATAGGCACTTTTCAATCACCTGGGCTGTAATTTTACCAATAGATTGTGCTTCCGCATTGTGGTATTTTAAGCTTTTTTTGGGGGATGTACAATCTGAGTCTGGCTGCTTTCTGTCAACTAGTTCATTTTTATGAACAGAAAATAATGAAAGTCAGCAATTTAAATGTAGAAATTGTGGTCATGACTGGATGAACACTTTCAGGGACAGCGGTTACAATTGACGTGCGGTTACATCCAGGTGAGGCTCTGCCACCCCTGCCTCCCTTGACTGACCGCACGTCAATTGTGTTGTAGAGATGCTAGTCTGATTCCTGGCTCCTGTTGAGGTACGCAGCAACGCCTTCAATTACCTTCTCCCCACTTCCCCTCAACAATAAACTGAGGAGTACCGCGCCATTTGTTCGTAGAGAGTCAATGTACTTTTTTTTTTTTTTGCAAGTCACTGTCACTTTTTCTTGTCCCGCTTTCCTTGAGGATAATTCCCTTCCCCTGTCAACCCTGCCACAATGTCCGTTTTCACAGAGCCCCCATCTCGGGGAGTTTTCTTTCTTTTAGTATTTTGCTCGACTCACAAAGGTGGAAGAGTGCGTTTGCGCCGTTGTGGTATCGAACTCAGCTGACTCCCGCATAATCACGCATAACATAGGACAGAGTGTGTCTGTTACATGGTTTAAGTTTGACAACTATGTGTTTTGTCGGTTAATAGCCATTGAAAGGCAAAGACCTGCAAAACAAGCTGATTTGTAGTTGGTGTCCCTGTGTTGTCGACGCCACGCTTGTTATTCAAGTACCTGCCCAATTCACGTTTCCTCAACTCAACATGGTGGCCACAAGACACCCACAAAACAGCAACTACCAATCAGGAAAGCGGCGACGGAGTTTTATATATCAAATAACAAATCTTATTTATTTATTGAATATATATTTTTTTTAATATGAATGAGAAAATGGCACGTTCAGAGAATAGCTTGAAAATGGACATCCTGCCCATTTCCAACCCAAATAATCTTGCAAACCCGATAAGGGGACTTCAAAGATTATAAAAAAAGAAAATCGTGGAAAAATAGTGGGACCATTAAAAACTGTACATTATCCTGACTATAGAAAATCACAATGCATATTGGAAGTGTCTGAAAACTCAATAATGGAGACGTGAAGAGACAGTGAATAGGCACTTTTCAATCACCTGGGCTGTAATTTTACCAATAGATTGTGCTTCCGCATTGTGGTATTTTAAGCTTTTTTTGGGGGATGTACAATCTGAGTCTGGCTGCTTTCTGTCAACTAGTTCATTTTTATGAACAGAAAATAATGAAAGTCAGCAATTTAAATGTAGAAATTGTGGTCATGACTGGATGAACACTTTCAGGGACAGCGGTTACAATTGACGTGCGGTTACATCCAGGTGAGGCTCTGCCACCCCTGCCTCCCTTGACTGACCGCACGTCAATTGTGTTGTAGAGATGCTAGTCTGATTCCTGGCTCCTGTTGAGGTACGCAGCAACGCCTTCAATTACCTTCTCCCCACTTCCCCTCAACAATAAACTGAGGAGTCCCGCGCCATTTGTTCGTAGAGAGTCAATGTACTTTTTTTTTTTTTTTGCAAGTCACTGTCACTTTTTCTTGTCACGCTTTCCTTGAGGATAATTCCCTTCCCCTGTCAACCCTGCCACAATGTCCGTTATCACAGAGCACCCATCTCAGTTTTTTACAAGTTCGACATGTCTTGTCCTCCCTGGAATCCGTATCTTAAGTAAACTAGACTTAATTGCATCTACTGTATTTAAAAGAGGATGTATAACTTAGGCTAGCCAACACATCTTTTTAATGTGTGAATGCGCAAACAGTGGCATGCATGTATATGGATACACACACACACACACACACACACACACACACACACACACAGAGTACTCTCTTTTCCTCTCTCACTCTCTCTCTCTCTCACATGAAGGTAAGCACACACACACACACACACACACACTAAGCCCTCTTCCCGTCTGGTGTTGGTCCCAGCCTAAAACCAAACCATGTGTGAGAGCTATCCTGTGCCGGCCTAAACTATCCAATCAAAAATGACCAGATTATCTCAGGAGATTCTTTGCAGTCTTGGTGATGAGGGTCCAAGAAGAGGTTAAAAAAATGGGTGCATTCAGTTGGAAACACTTTGTAAATGTTATATATATTTCGTCCTTAAAGCCAGACTTGAATGCATTTATTGGATGTAACAGGAATGTGCAGCCAATTTCTCTGGGGCCAAATGTTGGCACCCAGCGTATTTTTTGTTTGTTTTTAGCATTATTTTAGGCCTGTATATGTTGCAACTGTCCTGACTGCCTTCCAGTTTATCCTCACAGCGTTTACTTTGTTAGTATCATGCTTTGTTCCTATTTGAACCTCTTTCACTCTCACTAGGCCGAGATGCCTTCCACTCCCTCTGTCACTTGTTTTTGGCCTTTTTTTTTTTTTGCACCCCCCTCCTCTCGCATTGCCCCCCACCAAACTCCCACGTCTCCCTCCTGACCCACCACCAACAAGGCATGAAAACGGTGCTCCATTAGGAGTGCCTGGGCTAAGCCTGGTCTGACACGTACTGCTTTGATCAGCCGTGAGCTGGGCTAAACACCACACTAAACTCCCAGTCTAGAGAAGAGGCGGAGGAGGAAGAGGAGGAGGAGGAAGGTGGGTAGCGAGGGTTAGGGAAAGATGGGACCGCCAAGATTAAAGCAGTGAAAGGAGAAAGAGATGGAGAGACAAAAAAAAGGGAATACAGCTACTCAACTGATCCTCTCACTAGTTTTGGTTTGATTTCACATTTTCTGCACATCTTTTTTAATTGCCTCGTTTCTGCCTTTTGCCTCCACAACTTCTGTTTGAAGCCTCATCAGCAAACAGCATCAATTTTTAAAGCAACTTGTCTGTCTTGTGAGTTAGATTGTTCTCACCCGATTATTTACACACACCTGTCGAAGAGCGTACATGTGCAACAGTGTACCTGGACCCATGAGCCAAAGTCATTTCTAGGCACTTAAATACAAAACCAGCGGCAGCACCGGTACAAGGACAAAAAGTGCTCGTCTTTTTCTCCCAAGGACCGAAGAGAAAAGGGATTTCCGCTCAGTGCTAATCAATCAGGCTATGATAATGGCTCCCATGCCTAGCTGTCGACTGGAGGGGTCAAGGCATCCCGTGACCCAGCGCCCAAGACCCAGGGGCCAAAGCCCCTCTCAGAATAGCACCCCAGGACACACTCCCCAGGCTAATTGTCCGAGCTAGTATCAGCCTTTTCAATGCCCCCGCCTTTCTCCCCACCTTCCACTTTCTCCCTCATTCCTCACTCTTCCCTCTCGCTTTACTCCTTTCCTCCCCATAACTCTGCAATCCCCTCGCTTGCGATACAACTTCGGATTTCACACCGGATGCCGTTTTGTCCTCGCAAAAGGAGGAGGACGCTGTGTGAGGAATAGAGTTTAACATCAGTCAATATAGCGAACATGAGCACAGAGAGGGAGTGATGAGCGCCTGTCAAGGAGAGACTGAAGAAGGGTGGAGGAAGAGTTGACGACAGTGAGTCGGGACAGAGAGTTCAACAGAACCACGGGGTAGAAGACTGACTCCGAGTCTCCCCTAAATCCTCCTTTGGGACATCAGTACAACAGAGAACTGTGATGGGTCTATCCCCTTCAATCGCCACATCAATTGGCAGATCAGTTTCCGTGTCAAGGAGTGTGAACCTTAAAGTCAGCCTGACCACATCAATGCATAAAACAACCACAACAAGACCGGGAGAAGACATACCCGCTCGCGCGCGCACACACAGGAGGGCACGAGAGTCCGGAGCAACGCCAGTCCGGCTCGGTGCAATGGCATTCCTTTCATTCCAAATGCACGCTACTAATTAACAACATTAGCTCCTACGGGCGCAGGGACAGATTGATGGAGATGTATCCCAGGGTTGCACCAGCTCCACATATTGAATGCCACGCTTGCGCTGCTTTCTTTCTTTCATTCTCACAATCCCATTCATGCAAGTCTTTTTTTTTTTCTACGCTCAGCTTCTGTCAGGTCCTGGTCAGACAGCATCAACAAGCACAGCAGTGAGTGTGTACAAAGATCCAAAGAGTATTTAAAAATTAAAAAAATAAATAAATAAATAAAAGAATCAATTGGCTACTCACTGGGAACCTCCTCTTTATTGTCTGCTTTTCCTGATCTGTCACTCCTTATCCTCTTCCTCCAGTGTAGCAAGGGGTGTGTATTGTGTCAGTCCGATAGAGGAAAGTTGCTGTCTCCTTACGTGAGCATGTGTGTGAGCGCTTGTGTGAAAGAGAAGGAGGCAACGTGTGCATCTGTCTCTGTGTCTTGCACTGCTCGGAGTGAGCGAGCTGAGGCTGTTTTAAACAGACTGCTATCCCCCATGTGACCAGCCCAGCCACAGGCAGGAATACATTACAAGCCCCCCAACTCAACCCCATCACAGCACCCACCCCTCGCCCGACCCCTCTCTCTCTCTCTCTCTCTCTCTCTCTCTCTCTCTCTCTCTCTCTCTCTCTCTTTCGCCACACAAATCATGTCCACAGTGCACCCCCTAGCAACCACTCACAGTAGTGCAGGGAGCAGCCCGAACACGTCCCATGGAAACCAAGGATGGGCAATTTAAATGACGAAGGGGGCCACAATTCTCCATCCATACAACTGTGGGTGGGGGCACACAGGGCCAGGCAATCTCCTAGCCAGATGGATGAGAAAAATGCAATTTTAAATATGTCCCAACTATGTACAAACATGCAAAATACATGCCCTTCTTTAATATTTCAGTTTTGGTGAGACGTTTTTCACTGCATGTATGAAAGAACCAATATCCTAATCCAACAGTAAAGGATTTGATGCAAACAACAAAATGACCGTATACTGTGTGGGTTTTTTTTTAATTCTCCTAGTGGTAAAGGGCTCTCTTGAATAAATATGACCATTTAAGGACAGCACAAAACTGCTGAACAAGAACATTCAGTTTGAGAAGCCATTGTGTACAGGTTTCACAAAAAATAAACTCACTCAAAATTTTAGGTACAATGTCTGTACAATATATTCCAAAGATGCAAAAAAACCAAAACAAAAACAAACAAAAAAAAAAACTTGGCCTTTTTCATGTTGTATAGGGCAGGATAAGACTCAGTGTTAAGTGCAATTAAGACATGTCTGCCACCTAGTGGTGAATGATGATTTTACGGTAATTACAACTCAAAAGTACAGTACATTTAACCCCTGTATATTCGCTGTTCAGCAACTGCAAATTGGTATATTCCCAGATTTTTTATTTTTTTTAAACTTTTTTCAATATTTCTCTATCTTCCGGATTTTTATTTATTTATTTTTATTTTTTGGGAGGGTTGGTGAGTTGGGTTGTTTTCCACATTTCACCCACATTTTAATCGAAAACGTATCCTATTGAATGTTCCTCATCATTATATGAAGATTTTTTTTTTGGTTTGTCAGATTTTTTTTTCCGCCAGTTGTCCATCCTGGTCGGAGACACACTCACACACGTATAAGCTACTGTATATAGGCTCACATAATATTATAGATGCATAATTGAGGCAGCAACACACACATATGCATCCATCTTTTTGTTTCAAAAGAAACAAATAGAGCTTCCGAAGCACAAACCCAAACGGTTTGTTCCTAAGCACACACACACACACACACACACACACACACACACACACACACACACACACACACACACACACACACACACAGATAGTTTAGTTTTCTGCTGTGTTTTGGCGTCTTTACCACAGCAGTGGTTCACACCTGGAAGCGTTGACCTTTTCAGTAATGGAAAGCTTTTAAAATTGACCTTCAGCTGCAGATCTGCCTCAGCTGCAGCACAGGTAAGACATGTCTCAGGAACAACAACAAGGCAAAACAACACACATGAGGTGTTTCCATTGGAATACCCAGTGACAGGTACATCTACTTTTCAAAAGGGTGACACGTATTTTTGTAACATTTCAGTCGAAGGAGTAGTATTGCATCAACACCGGCATTGGGACAAGATGCAAACTCCACACAGGAAGGCCGGCACCCGGATTTGAACCCTCAGCCTCAGAACTGTGAGTCGGATATGAACGTGCAGCTGGTCGGCCGCCATTCAAGAAGGAAACAAAGTGTGATTACAAAATACAATTAATTAGATTGAACCCACCCTATGGGTATATTTTGCAAGACACACGTAGCACCATCACCACGGCAACCTTTGCACAACAACTGTTTGCGATAATGGCAAGAAAAACAGGTGAAAGGATTAGTTTGGACCTGCTCTTTGCTGATAAACACTTAACACGTTGTATTCAAAATGTCATTCACCTTAAGCCACTGCCAAGTGCCTTGAATTTACTCTGCCGCATTGTCTTGCAGTGATAAGCATGACTACATTGTAAACAATGAGTTATAATGAAGAAGGTTGACATTCAGAAGCCAAATTCGAGAAGGGTGCTGTGCTAATCCCGGTTCTCCTTTCACCAAATGTCGCGCTAATCAGTTTATTCTTCAAATTAAAAAGGATCATTAACATTAGCAGATTGTACTGAGCAATGTCTTTGGGTCTATTGTTCAGACAAGTTCAGTGCGAAATTCAACAATGTGGAATGCAGGTTTTGTATTCAACCCTTTCATGCACCCTGTAAGCTGATAACATGAAAAGATGTCCACTGTAGTAACCGCTGTCCCTCAAAGTTTTCAATCCTCATTGTTTTGTATTGTTTTTTTGTTTATAATCAATGATTTAGGGCGGTTAGCGTGTCAGCTTCGAATACAGCTCCGGCCTTCCTGTGTGGAGTTTGCATGTTCTACCCATGCCTACGTGGGTTTTCTCCGGGTGCTCCAGTTTCCTTCCACATTCCAAAAACATGCCTGGAAGGTTAACAGACTCTAAATTGTCTCTAGGTGTGAGTGTAAGCGCGGATGGTTGTTCGTCTCTGTGTGCCCTGCGGTTGGCTGGCAACCGGTTCAGGGTGTCCCTCGCCAACTGCACAAAGACAGCTGGGACAGGGTCCAGCACCCCCCGCGACCCTTGTGAGGATAAGTGGATCAGAAAATGGATGAATGATTTAAATATGGTGATAGTCACAGCACATTGCATTTTTGGGTTGCCAACATGTTAGTGTATGGTAACATGTCTGAACCGGTGCTCGTCTGAAATGCTCCGCTTTGATTGGTGGCGCCCGTCCCCAATTCGACCCACCAGTTGTTGCTGAGGAAGGAGCCTTGATGGACGATTCGATCCCGCCAGCTGCATTCGTAAGGCACCAGTGAGTTGGAAAAAAAAAAAAAAAAAAAAGATTATTTTTGTCTCTTGTGCGAGTTGGTTGTTATTTAAGATGAGCAGTCAGTCTCCACACCTTTCATTTGTTTCTGCCTTTCTTGTCCAACTTCAGCTGAGCTGAATATTCAAATTGGCTTTGTGTTGCTCACACTGACAGACGGGATTCGTATGAGTACTTACTGTCCCAACTCATCAGTGAATCATGGTTGTGGGTCAGACATGCAGAAATGCAGACAAAAGCAGCGGGATACATTTTGAAGTGTTTCTGGCAATATTATCATCTCGCATTCAGCCGAATGCTTCCGAACTGCTTGGATGACGTTTCACAGTGCTGGTGGACAATGACCCAAAAATTTTCTGCGACGGGAACCAAAGAATTGAAACCTGTGAACCCTCATCATCTGAATTTGTTTGCTTGAGGACCTACCGTGAGTGCGGCAACCAATTCAACCTGATTTGATCCGTTTGTTGGTGTGCGCCAGGATTCAGATGTTAGTGTTTAAACAAGCAAAAAAAAAAGATGAGAGATGACATCATTTATTTTGCGAACACATCCAAAGGAGACGTAAAATCATAAATCTAATGAAAGCAATTTCACCTGGATGTTTAGCTTTTAATTTTCCCTTCGTTTGTTAGTGTGAATAATCATCTTCATGATATCGCATCACATAAATGCGGTTCCAGCGACGCTTCGCAAAGCACATGTCGGAATCAAATGTTCTTGAAATTTTCACCAACAAAAAAAAAAAAATTATATGACACAGTGTTTGGTGTCCACCTGAAGATTGAGCAGTGCATGGAGGCTTTCAACACACTTGCATCATCCTGTTTGCCCGGCGTTTAGTTAACACTGTTGATGTGTCTTGCGCTGACAAAGGGTGTGTGTGTGATTAAATGAGATAGAACACATATTTGTGTTTGGATCGTCTTGGGAAAGATGGCTGGAGATTGCGCGTCTGCAGAAGAAAGACTGAGGATAATAAATATGCACTGCTTATCGGCGTGTCTTCGGGTTTTAGCTTGGGCCGGGGCAGATAGGATCCTCTTCAATAGCAGACTGTGGATGAAAGGCAAGAATACGCCTTTGGACCTTATGGCATCCTATTCCCAGGATCAGCAACATCATCTGCCCCGCAAGTATACATGAGCACTAAGCCAGGCATTTACTTGCAATGATAAGGTGAACACATCATGTCAGTGTTTTCTGTGTAAGGTGCGTTTTCGCGGTGGATTATTTTCCCCATTCTCAAATTGGAGCTTTTTAGAATTGATATCGCAGGAGGCTGAGATGTCAAAATGTCAAATATTTGTCTTCATTCGATCATCTGCTTCACGCATGGTGAATAATTCAGGGCATTTGCTGCATTTGAATGTTCATGTTCCTTTCAGAAAAACTATCATCTAACTCTGTGCAAAAACATGTGCAAAATGGAAAACAGGAATCGGCGAATGAATGCTTCTTTTAAACTGGCTTTTTAAACCACTGCGGGTTCGTTCTATCCAATTACTGTCGGTGATTCAGACACAACCGCTCCAGTTTGCAAACTCGCTGGAGTCGTTTCTACTCAACCAAGGGGCACTTTTCTAGTTAGTTTCCTTTAACTACATTTCACACCTGCTCAAATGAAGCACAATCTGGAACCAAAAACAAACAACTATTCAGCTCAAGGGTACACAACAGTACCGCGCAGAGGAATTTCTGTGTGTAAGCCAACAGTTTCAAACTCGGGTCTTAAACTGGGCAGTGATTTTAAACTGGACCGACAAATTGGAGCCATTGTTAAATCCAGCTTCTTTCATCTTAGGCAGCTGGCTAAAATAAAACCTCTCCTTTCTCAAGAGCACTTTGAAACATGAATTCATGTCTTCATCACATCCTTACTGGATTACTGTAATGCACTTTACTTTGCAATTAGCCAATCCTCCATTAAGCGTCTCCAGTTGGTCCAGAATGCTGCTGCTCACCTCTTGACTGGTACTCGTAAGAGCGAACACATAACTCCTACTCTGGCATCCCTTTGCTGGCTCCCTTATACATTTGAGAGTTCTTTTTAAGATCGTATTATTTGTTTTCAAATCTTTAAATGGCCTCACACCT